AGTTACATAATCTTGTGAACAAATGACAGCATTCGAAGGTATGAAAACCAAGACGGTGTGGCCTTTTGTGTGGTCGCAGTCTCCTTTCGTTGTTCAGAAGTTGTTTGACCTTCTATAAGCAACAAGGCCATATTGGTAGGAAGCCTTAGAGGAACGCACCTAGTCCGGAGTCCATTGTATGCATCACCATTTCCAAAGTTGAACCGTGGATGTGGTACATTCCCAAACGTTTCGCCGGCATCGTCAGTGAGTATTGCCACTCTTAGCAACACACAACAACTCGTCAAAGAGACAAGTGAAGCTGATCCTTTGACCAAACGTGTGCTAAACGATTGTGCTATCTCCTCTTGTGTCCTGGATTATTCGCGTTTCCTGTATCATCCTTTCATACCTTCAATATTACAATTTTACCGTGTTTATTTAGAGAGAGTGTAATGTGTTTCTTTGAGTGGCATGAAACCTTCACACTCAAACTGTCCTTCTCCCCCTCTTTCATCCTTGTGCTGGGAATGTTGATCTGCTTAATTATTATGCAGTCCTCTGGGATAAGACTAGGGAAGAGGACTGCATAATAATAAAGCAGATTCTGATCAACATTCCCAGCACAAGGATGAAAGGGGGGAGGAACGACAGTTTGAGTGTGAAGGTAACATGTCACTTAAAGGAACACCCCACACTATGTCTAAATAAACACGGTAAAATTGTAATAATGAAGGCATGATAGGATGCTACCGGAAACGCTAATAACTCTGGGCTGAAGGAGAGATAGCACAATTGTTTAGCACACGTTTGGTCAAAGGATCGGCTTCACTTGTCTCTTTGACGAGTTGCTGTATGGTGCTAAGAATGGCGATACTCACTGACGTTGCCGGCGAAACTTTTCGAAATGTACCACGTCGACGGTTCAACTTTGGAAATGATGATGCATACAATGGACTCTGGACTAGGTGCGTTCCTCTAAGTCTTCCTACCAACATGACCATGTTGCAAATACAAGGTGAAACAACCTCTAAATGACAGTATTATCCAAAATGGCCATAAGAGTAAACACCAAATAAGCAGGTGAAGAGTTGTGATTAGATCGCAAGTTGCAATAACCCCAACCGCTGGGGAGTACTTACGATGATGTTAGCGCTGACAGTCGACTCGCACACAACCAAATGAGTAGGTCTCAGCCTGCATTACCTCCCAACAGGTTTTTACCTCGAGAGCGTGGACCGCTCGGGTCCTATCGGCAACGCAGGACAGGATTCGAAACGGTGCTACACACATCAAGCGACAACCTTACCACTCAGACAGACAGCCGCGGCTGCCGGTAGACCACGGGAAAGATGCCAACTCCAACGCGAACTAAGCCCCACCCAAGTAACCTTGCATAGTAGGACCGGTGTAGTAAAAGATAAACTCGTAGTTGCTATCAGAGTCAATACATTATAGTGGACCAAGTGAGTTGGTTTCTAGACTATATGTGCAATGGAACCTTGGCAAAATTTGCTCGAGTTAAGTTGTAGAGAAGACTAGGTTATTGCATTTAAATTGTGCAGTTAAAAAAATGAGTCAACGAAATTTAGAAAACACAAAGTGCGAAGAGAAAAAGTAGAATAAGATAAATGAACGCCCTTGTCAGAAATAGCGAGATCGCGAGCT